CGGAATATTCGACGCTAAAACCGACGCTATATGATTGACGCTAATTCGACGCTAAATTAGCGTCGAATTGAAGATGAGGACGCTAATTCGATGCAATTTAGCGTCGAATTAGCGTCGATCATTTTTCGTCTCANTTTTGCGTCGATTTAGCGTCNAATTTTTTGAACGACACNAAAACGACGCAAAAGCGTCGCAAATTTTGTGTCGACGCAAAATCGACGCTCAATTTCGATGCTAAAACTGTTTTTTCTTGTAGTGATTATGGGTTTTGAATCTGGCAGATTTCAAAAGAGCTTCTCGATTTTTCTGTTCCAGTTCCCATCGAGCAGACGCTATGTTAAGAGAATCATATGAAGAGTTTGATAAGGACTCGTTACACTGGTTTCAGTCACCTGCCAACGTTAGATGCTTCAGAAGATCCTGACAAACTGGAACCTGGTTTAAATTACGCGATAAAGAAGAAGATCAGCGTAAGAACAGTAACAATGGTTCAAAACTGCTGATGTTTTATAATATGAAAAAAACAAAAATCTCTTTACAGAACAGTGTAAAGTGCACACCTTGAACAGCCAGATTATCGGGAAGCCAGAGCTAACTAATAGTTAATATTGTGGCCCCGTTTTGCCAGACTACAAATTTGCTACACCAATAGGTTGAGGTTTTCCGACTTTCCCACTCACGAGAATATCAAATGTAACACCATCGGGTACAAGACCCTTGTCAAGCATCTCATACTGAAGTCTAAAAGCCTCATCGAGATTTCCTTCTCTAAAATGTCCTGCAATCACCGCATTGTAGATAAAAACATTCGGAGTCACATCTTTCTCCTTCATCGCCTCAAACATCTCAACGACTTTCGCAAACTGTCCCTTCTTGCTAAGACCGTTTACAATTACCGTATACATGATTTCATCAGCGACTATACCGACTGCCTGCATTTCTGTGTACAAATCAGAGGCGAGGAACAAATTTCCTTCTTTTAACAATCCATCAATCAGTGTGGTATACGTGAACAGATCACACCTTAGACCATCTTGCAACATTTTCTTGTGCAAATCAAGCGCTGCTTCCATGTTTCCAAGATTACGGTATCCAGAAATCAAGCTGTTGTAAACAGCTCCGTTTGGATTCAATCCTTCTTCGCGGAGTTCAGCGAACATAGCAGATGCACTTTCCATGTTACACTTTTTGCAGAACCCATCGATAAGAGCACCATAAGCTGGAATATCGAGTTTGAGACCTTTGTTCTTCATTTCATGCTTCATTTCCAGTGCTTGATCCATTCTGTTATTTTTGCATAACCCATCCATCATGCTGGTATAAGTTACGACGTTTGGGGAAATACCATTGCCACACATCTCTTTGTAAGCTGCAACCGCAGAATCCATTTCACCCTCTTTGATAAATCCATCTATGATGCTATTGTAACTCATGCAACTGATACAAAACCGCTTTCCTTTTATCAGCTTTTTCAACACATCTCTTGCTTTGGATGTCTGACCAACTTTGCATAAACCGTTGATAAACGTGTGGTATATGACCTCATTGACTTCGATATTGGAAGATGTCACTTGATCCAAGACTTCCCAAGCGTTCTGTTCATCATGATTCTTGAAATATCCATCGATCAAAATGGAATATGTGTAATTGTTCGGCTTTATACCCTTTTCCAGCATTTTTGAAAAAACAGTACGAGCCAGTTCCATGTTTTTCTTTCTGCAGAGGGCAAGCATCACGTTATTGTAAGAAATTACATTAGACCTAATACCTATACTTTCCATCTTCTTCAATAAATCGGTGGCTTCATCTATCTTACCTTGCTTGCATAACCACGATAACATACTATTACATATGAAAATGTTTGCCTGACCGGTTTCAAAAGACTCGTCAAAGATTTTCAGTGCCTCTTCCGATCTCTGGCCTTTCAAACACCCTACGATTATCGAGTGGACATGAAAGTCCGAAGGGGTAATACCTAAAACTTTCATTTTCTTGTAAAACTCAAGTACCTTTTCCATGTCCCCGTTCTTACTAAACCGTTCTATCAGAACCGAAAACGTAACATTGTTCGGAGACGGGCTTTCTTTTTCCATCTTATGAAACATATCTAAAGCACTACCCAACTCATTCTTCTTGCAATGTCCCTTGATCAGACTCGTTGCAACAATTACATTCATCGGTATCCCATCACTCACCATCTCATCCTTCAATCTAATTGCCTCCTCCATGTTACCTTTCTTCATTGAAGCCACAATCACAGAAGTATACGTATCCTCTGAAGGGACACACAACTTCTTCTCCTTCATCTCTCTCAACAAACCCAAAGCCATACCCAAATCAAGGGTCTTGCAGCAAGCCTGAACAGCAAGACTATAAAGTAACCCATCCGGTTCTAATCCTCTTTCGATAGCTTTACTACAAAGCTCCAAAGCCTCCTCAGGCTTTTGTTCTCTCAAACTAGCTCGCATTAACAAATGCGTTGTGACATTATCACCAGCAACACCAATGGCAACCATCTTACTATACAATTCCTTAGCTTCGTTTATCGAATTCCTTCGAACTAAAGCATTCAACGCGCTGTTTACATAAGGAACAAATGGAATCACACCAAGTTCTATCATTAGATTAACACAATCCACCGCATAATCCGTTTGCTTCTCTTTGGAATAAGCATTCAACAAGTAATTAAAAGCTCGATGATTGACTTCAAACCCATATAACTTCGCTGAATCCACCAAATTACTAACCAATACGCTTGGCATTGCAATTGGATTGCTCGAAGAAACGTACCGTCTGAGCAAATCGCTTGCACGTCCGTAAGTCTCAGGAGAACTAACCAGAATATGAATGAGTACCCAGAACGCATCACCAGCTTCAAAGCTTCCACGCCATGGTTTAGCCCAATTGTAGAACCGAAGAGCAGATATTGGGTTTTCCTTGCGATACAGAAGAACGTCGATTAAATCCGATTCGTCTTTCTGTACAGGCTTGGTAGTTAAAAGACGCACTTCGGAGGTAACTGGATTTTGGTCGGAAGCGGATCCGGAAACTAATTGACTTGGATTCTCAGATTCTTTGGGAAATCGACAATGTGAACAAAAGGGTTTATAGTTTATCAAACAACGAAGAAGAAACGGTGCAGGGATTTTTCTAAAAGCCAATAAAGATCTCATTTTCATTGTTTTTTTTTTCAGTTCTCTCAGCGATTCTCAGTAGAGAAAGATGATCGGAGAAGAAAGAGAATCGGCTTAACCCCTAATTCAATTCCCCCAAAACCCCAATGTAAAGCTTCACGACGTCGTTTTAGCCTTTTCCTTATTTGAACATTTTCAATTTCGTATTTTTATCTTTAAAAAAAGAAGATTTTTTCCTCATTTCCCAAACTTGCAAGAGAGAAGAAAATCAAAAATGTCGAATTGCAGGTTTCTCTACCACAACGGTGTCGTTTTGGAGGCTCCTCCGGTCACTACCTTCCTTGAATCGCTCACGGGTACGTAACCAAACTACGGCTAATGAATAGAGATAAGCAGAGATAAGCAAAAAGTTTGAAACTTTTGAGAATCTTATAGGTGCTTATACAACGACGAGAACGATAAACAGTGTCACTAGTTTCTTGTTCTGGGAAAGACATATGAAGAGACTTTCGAGCTCGATTCGTATCCTTTTGGATTCAAAGCCCGAGCTTTTGTTCAGTTCCGAGTCATCGTCTCCGTTTTTGATGAATCAATCAGTTCCTGAGTCGAGTATTTATGATCTAGTCAATGGTTGTATGAACAAGGCCATGAAATCTGTTGTAGTCAAGGAAAGGGAAAGAATTTTTGGAGAAGAATTAGCTGTAACTGTTCTTGTTACTGGTAATGTGGAGAAGTTGGATAGTTTTGGTGATGAAAACTGTGATCAGGAGAGGAAAGTTGTGGATTTTCTCGATGTGTGGTTGCATATAGGTGGATACTCGCCTTGCCCGTTAGGTGTTCGAGAAAATGCCGCGAGTTTGGCTTTGGTTGGTCGTGGAAGAGATGTTGCTGCTGCTAAATACTCAGATTGGGTAAGGTATTGTGCTCTGATATCTCAACTTTTGAGGTCTTTTAACTTGTGGATTTTTTGTTGTTTCTTTCGTAATTTCGTTACGGGTTTGTGACTTAGGCAGGCTGCGGAAGCCTCTGGAGAAGTTTAGACCTCCTTCGACTACTGAACTTCTTTTGTCAAATGATGGTGATCATTTGCTTGAGGGCTGCATCACAAACTTTTTCGTAGTTTATCGCAGGGTACGGATAAAAACTCAATTCCATTAATATTATGTTCAAAGCCTAATCGCGTATTTGGTTATGATGTTCATTGCC